CCCCCCCCCCCCCCCCCCCCCGTTTCGCCTGCCTGACACGCGTGGGCGCCTGCTTCTCTCCCTCCCTCTCTCTTGTGACTCAGGGGGACTTCCTGGGCGCCGTGTCGGTCAATGCCTCGGCTTCGCCGGATGCCGGCAACTTCGGGTCGGACTTCCGCCTGTTGATCTTCTCCAACAGCGTCTGCTGGGGCTGCGTGGCTCCGGACCAGTCGGCCACCCTGCTCATGCGGGCTCTGCCCATCAACCGCATCACCCTGTGGATTGATGCCAGTACGTGTTGCTCCTCCTTTGATGCCCGGTCCATCTCCTCGTCCGCGGTCTTTCCCATCCTCCCGTTGGCGCTTCTCACACCTCCTGTCCGACCCCCCCCCCCCCACCCCGAATGATGGCAACATCCACCGTGCAGGCACCGTGCTCGGCATCAAGGTCGTCTCGGCCGACTATGCTTCCATCTCCTCGTCACGCGTGCCGGCCCCGACCCTCGTCCCTCTGGTGAATCCTCTGTGCGATTCGGAAATCAACATCGATGACCCGGCTTGCCCGGCCTTCAACCGCAAGCTCTTCGTCGACATCTTCGACTGCGCCGCTCAGTATTATCTCGAGTCCTTGCCCTCGACCAAGTGAGCCGGCGCGAGTGCTTGTGTAAAAGCGCCCCCTCCTCCCGGTTCATGGGACACATACCCCCCCCTCTCCGTTCTTTTTTTGTCCCCCCCTCCCCCCCCCGAATAAAAGTTTCGTCTTCGCCGGGGGCGCCCCCCGCTGCCGAGTGGTACCACACGGGATGTGGACCGCGTCACGAGCCGAGTCACGGGATGTCGCAAATATATCCGGGCAGTTTTCGGCGCCCCCGGCTGCCCGGGACAAAATTCAGCCGGTGGCGGCGCGCACGGAGGGCCAGTCGGTGTGGGGATGATGTATAGGGGGCCTGTTGTTGCATCTGCGTGCGCCGGGCCAATACGGGGCGAAGGCGGTCCGCTGATCGTGGAATCTTGAATCTGATCGACCTTTTTTGCCGGGTCGCGGCGGGGCGGGGGGGGGGGGGGTGCCCCGCTCGCCCCCCTCCTCCCCGGGGGGAGCGAGGGGCAAAAATAATGGTCTGTCGGATTATTGCACGGTTGAATTCGCGCGATCAGTCTCCTCCCTGCGTGTGTCCCTCTCTCCCCGGAAGGGGGAATCTCCGGGAGAGAGCACGGGGCATCGACGTGAAATAAGCGTGAAAGGACAGCTGCCCCTTCTCGCGAACATTGTCAGTCATGCCGTCTCTCTCTCCCTCTAGCCGTGTCGGGCCAAGGAGCGGAGACCGCGCCCGGTGGGATCGCGCTTGCCCTTCGTCCACAACAACTCCCCGGGAGCGTGGCGATCCCTGGGATCGGGGCTCCGCATGTGTGTGTGTCTTTCTCCCCCCCCCCCCCCCCCCCGGCGCCGTGGGTGTCGTGGAGCACCGCTTGTGGGGTGCCCAAACAGTGGGACCAGGAGGGAAAAGGTCGATATCATTCTTGTGCAGACGGGGTGTCCGCATAGCAAGAAGAAAGGAATCGGAGCGCATTCGGCGGAGCACCCCCACCCCCGGGGCCGCCTCCCTCCCCGACCCGAGAGCACCGAGCGAGCGCCCCCTCTTGTTGGGCTGCGCGGGGGCTCCGTCGCCGAATGTGTGTCACCATGTCGGCGAGTCGGATCTCCCCGAGAAGCTCGAGAAGATCGGGGCGTGTGTGTGTGTGTGTGTCTGTATAGGGGGGGGGGGTAGGTGCAAATGATGGCAGCAGGCTACAAACCCGAGAAAAGGACACTGTCTGTCTGTTGGGGGGTGCCCCCGGCAGGTGACTGGCTTCCAGCCGAGGGGCAGAGGAGGCCGGGGAGCTTGGAGGTGTTCCCCATCGATGTGCAGGAGTTGACTGTAGCCGCAGGCCCCAACCCCGGGAGGCAGGGAAGGTCAGGGGAATAGGGCGGGGGTGGGGTGAGGGGGGAGGGGGAACGAGGCCAAGAAGGGGTGGCGCATCCGATGTGTGGGATCTCGAGTCATACCATCAATCCCCCCCTCCCCATCTGTGTGTGTTCATCGCCATCGCCTGTGCCATCATCTTCATTTGCCTCTCTCCCTCTCTCTCCCTCTCTCGCCCTGTCTCCCCCCCCCCCCCCCCCCCTCCCATCCTCCCTCCGCGTCGGTGCCGCTTCCTGTCCTCCTGGCCATGGGTTCCGTTCGGTTTGAGGGGGACTTCCCAAGCGAGGCATCCCTCCTTGGGTCATCGGGCGCCGGCGGCGAGGCGACATACGAAACCTCCCCCTTCAATGGATCGCATTCGCGCCGGACCTCAACCTACTCGCAGATCTCGGTCGACGCCCCGGGCTTGGCCACCGCCTTTCCGCGGGATTCCGGCCACGGTCCCCGGCTCGAGCCGACACACCTCCTGATCCCGGATGTCTCGCTCTTTGGCTTCCACGACGCAGGGGCCGCTGCCTCGCCAACCACCCCCCCCCTGGACAAGGAGGATCTGTTGGAGTCCCTGCGCATGGCGGCCCCCTTTTCCCCGGCCTCCGGCACCGGCAAGGCCGGGCCCTCGCATGGGGCGGTCTTTGAAGCCGCCGGGCCGTGGGATCGTCTCTGGCAGCCGGTGGCCGCCTCGCTCGGGCACAAGTCCATGCTATATGTCCTCACCTATGGTGGCATGGGGGCTGCCCTGGCTGCCCCGGGCCCGGCGCTTGTGGCATTGGCCGAGCGTGCCGGCGCATCGCTCTCCACCGTCAGGTTCGACCAGTCCCCCGGGGCCTGCCTGATGCCCTCGAATGTCATGGGCCTCCCAGCGATTGCCACCATTCAAACTGACCCTTCCTCGGGCTTTTTTTTTCTTTGCTTCTCCCTTCCCCCTCCCGGCCGCCCCTCTGCTCCCTTCTGCCGGGTGGGTAGTTACCTGTTTCCGGCGCGAGCGGCGGCCTATCTCCTTGGAGCAGCCGGCGGGGGGCCATTCATGGACATGCTCTCGGAGCGCCGCGGGCATCTGCCCCTTGCCCTGTCCATCTTCACGGCGGCCTTCGGCACCGGGGCTCTGGCCTTCAGTTTCAGCGCCGCCACCCTGGCCATGTCGGCTTCCCTGCAGGGTGTGGCCATCGGAGCGGCAGACACCTGTGCCCATGTGCTCGTGGTGCGCGATGTGCCGGAGCACTCGGTTCAGTGGACCCACGCCATGCATGTGGCCTATGCGGCCGGGGCCCTGGTGGCGCCGCTGGCGGTCGAGGCCATGCTGACCCGGCACTATGCCGTAGGCACGGCCTTCCTCCTGCTGGCCCTCCTGTTGCTGCCCTTGGGCGTGGCCTCGGTCATCATGCGCGCGCCACGCATCCGACAAAAGCCCTCCCCCCCGCCGGAGGCCTCGGAGCTCGTGGCCTTCACACCGATGCACCCGGGCCTGGTGTCCGCGAGGGATGTCAAGCGGGAAGAGGCCGAGGGGGCGGCGCAAGAGGAGGAGGAGGAGGAGGAGGACGAGGCGGCCGTGGTGGACAGCAGCCGCGCCGAATTGCTTGCCCACCGCCCGGGGCAGGCGCCCAGCTGGGGCGTCACCAGCAGCCCGGCCACTGGGCAGCCTTTGGCCGAGGGGACGGCCCGACCCCGGTCACGACGAAACTCCCTGGTCCTCGTGGCTGGTTTGGCCTCGGGTTCGATTTGCCGGCGTAAGGACCACCCCGGGCATGGCCCCATGGCCAGCCCCTGCTGCCCGGACCACTCCGGCATGGGGATGGGCTCCGCCTCGCCGGCGGCCCTGGCTTGGGCTGGGCAGGTGACCCCGCCGCCGCCGATGATGCCGGAGGAGTTGGCCTCAGGGCGTCGAAGCGCCCGGGGAACCGGCCCTGCGTCCTTCTTGCCCTCGATCAAGACCGATGGCCTGGGGGACATCGAGCTGGCGGTCATTGGCCAGGGGGAGGAGTCGCCGGCCGGTTTGGCCACCTGGCGGTCTCCCCGGCCGCGGCCGGACAGCCCCTGCCAGGCCATGGGCCCATGCATCAACCGTGACATGGGGCCAATCTTGCCGCTTGAGGGTCCGGCTCCCTTCGATCGGGGGAATGTCCCGCACTTGTTCATGCTCGGCGCCTCGTGCATGATGGCCGGCTTGTCGGTTGGGGCGGAGCTGGCCGCCGGAGGGTTCCTCTTTGCCTGGGCGGCCCTCGGCCCGGCATTGATGCATGAATCCGATGCTCGGGCCCTTCTGTCGGCCTTCTGGGCATCGGTCACGGTGCGTGTTTGCCTTGGGTCTCTCCCTGGCGCCGGTCTTTGCCCTTCTGCCAGTCCTCCCCCCCCCCCCTTTCTCTCCAAGTGGCCCTCATGTTGTACTGATGATCCGTTGCTTGCCTGCCGGCGCTTGCATTTGCCTTGCCTCCCGTCCCGGGGTTAGGTGGGCCGCGTTGTCTCGGTCCTGGCCACACGCTGGCTCTCGCCGACCGTCCTGCTGGCGATCAACTTTGGAGGGGCCATGCTGGCGCAGGCTCCAGTTCTCTTCTTCCCCTCGAGCCATCTGGCCGTGCGTTAGTTCCTCCCTGGCCCCTCCCACCACGAGAGGAAGGCAAACCGGCCGCCGAGAAGGCGGCGCAGGGGCAAACAATTGCTTGTGGTTCTGACAATTGACACATACCGGCCCCTCTGCCTGCACCCCTCCCCCCCCCCCCAGTGCTGGATTAGCACCATCGCATACGGGTTCTGTCTCTCAAGCTCCTTCCCCAACACACTGGCCATTGTCCAGATCAACATTGAGCTAACCGGAAGAGTGCGCTTTCCCTGCCCCCCCCCCCTCCCCGCCCCCGATTGGCCCTCTTTTTCTCTTCCTTGGGGAAGACCCGAGGGACGTGGCCCTTTTTCTGACCCCTGTCCGGCCCGGCCCAATTCGCACATCGCCACACTTGCCAAACCCTGTCTTGATGCTCAAAGCTGGCAAGTGCCCTCGTGGTGAGCGCGGCTTCCGGCGAGCTGATCGCCCCACTCATCCTTGCTGCTACCTTCACCACGGGAGGTGGGAGCAGTAGTGGCGGCGACACTTCGTCATCCCTGGCAAATCCGTCATCAGCAGCCTCGGGGATCATCGAGCCGATCTCTCGCCTCGGTGCCCTGTCGTATGTCCTGCTTGCGGCCTTTTTCGCCCTGGGTGGCGTGCTCTCGCTTGTGGTGTTCAGAATCTTCGCCCGGAGGGAGAAGATCGCCCGCAGCAAGAGCCACATGCGGCACGCGCACCAGTTGCCGGCTCCATCGCAATCGTACCTCGTAGACACAGCACAGGCCACCGGCCATGTGTGACCCGCCGGCCCGCCCCGGCGAGCCGCATATGGCTCTGACCCAAAAATACATCCGCTCCCTTGGCTTGTTTGCTCCACCGCCCCGTCGAGCTGACCAGATCGAGACAGCGAAAGAGGAAGAGGGGGAGAGAGAGGGGGAGAGAGAGGGGGAGAGAGAGGGGGAGAGAGGGAGGAAGAGAGAGAGAGAGTGATCGCGGGCATGTAGGAATAGTTGTGGCCACTGCGGCGAAGAGGAGCGAGGCGTCGAGATATGCCCAAGGCGGCGGTGGAGCACCGCGAGGGGGTCCGGGCCCGGGGTTTCATTTAGGGCCCCTCTGGGCTGGCCCTCCGGCACAGATTCCCCCCCCCCCCCCCCCCCCCCCCCCTCCCCCTACCCCACAACCACTTTGGCCAGCCGCCCGCAACCAATGGGTAGCCCAACGCCAGCCCGGTCAATCGGCTTTGGAGAGCCCCAGCACTTTTCCCGACGGAGGGCGCCTTTCTCCGGGCGGGGAACAGGCGGGGCTGGTGTCTGGAGTGTATCCAGGGGGATGGTGCTCCGTTGGCATTCGCGGAGTATGCTGCGCCATCAAACAATGCCCCCCCGCCCGCCCCAATGTCCTCCCCCTCCCCCCTGAAGGTCTCCGGGATATTTTCGCCCATGGAAAGACTGTGCATGATTTGGCCCGCCTTGCGCACCAGCACGCCCGCGCCGCGAGCCTTTTCAAGCCGGCCCGTGGGCACCAGATGCGAATCAATTGCCCTCCAGTCCTCCTCTTTCATCTCTCTCTCTCTCTCTCTCTCTCTCTCTCTCTCTCCCCCCCCCCCTCGCCCTGTTCCTCTCTTTCCCTCCACCTCCTCCCCTCTCAGCCACTTCCCTCGCCCCCCGGTCATTTGGCTCTTCCTTCTTCTCCGACTGCTTGGACCTCCTCAGCCATGACGGGGTTTGAGCTGTTCACCGGTGAGAGCTGCTCACTCTCCCAGCTGAGCCTCCACATGCAGGGCCTGTTGATGGGCTTCGCTTTGAGTCTGCGCACCGAGAAGCACACCCCACCGTCCGGGCCCGACATTTCCTCCATCGCTGTCTTCGCCGGGAATTTCTTCTCGTGCGTTGCCTCTCCCGCCCACTGCCTCGCACGCCCCTTTCCTCCGCCTGCTTCCATCGCTGTCCGTCGCTTGCTCGGGAGTGCCTTTCTCTTACCCTTTGTTTCGTCTCTCTCTCTCTCTCTCGGTCTCTCGGAACCCTCAGCGCCCTGCAAAATATCACACATACCTTCACCCATGAGGTCAGCACCACTTCGGAGTTTGCCATTCGCTACCTGCTGGCCTTGTATCTCTTCCGCGGAGATGTCAGCCTTGCCAACCAGGCTGTCAATGGCCAGCTGCCAGGCATGATCTCCAATCGCTGTTCGACGGTCTTCGACAAGAACGACGTCTTCTATCGCTGCCAGTGCGTCCCCTCCTGTTCCCCCCCCCCCCCCCCCGCCGCCCTCCCCCCCACGGCGAGACATAGCATGCCTTTCTCATGGGCTCTATGCTGACCGCCTTTTCTCGTCGTCACACCCAACCAGGGACTGCTCTTCCGACGAGACGGTGGTCATCTGTGCCGAGTGCTTCGACGCCTCGGACCATGATGGTCACAATGTCACCTTCTACACGGACTCCACCTCCGGATGCTGTGACTGTGGCGATGTCACTGCATGGACTCGCCTGCCCAAGTGCAAGATCCATACGGCGGCGGCCGGCACGGAATCCAAGAACAAGCTCACAGCCGACCAGTCCAACTACATGATGCATGCCATCCATGCACTACTCTAGTACGTCCGATTGCCCGGCTCCCCTGCCTCCGGCTCCCTGCCCTTTCCGTTCTTTTCGCCCCCCCCCCCCCCCCTTCCCCCGGCCAGGGCATGCCTGTCGTCTGGTACTTACCCGTTATGATTGTGCATGGCAGCTTCGCACGGGACATCCTCCTTCGGCACAAGATCCCCCGCGCGCATCAGTACCACGACTTGACCTACTTCCCCCGGTGCAAGGTCCCGCATTATTCTCAGTCCGAGCATCGGCCCTCGCCCTACGAGAATCTTCAGCGGGTGGCGTACACTCCGCCGATGCACCCTTCGCCCAACCACTACACGATGCTCTACAATAATGACATCAACACCTTCGATCAGGTCATCCACTTTGTGCGTTCTTTTCTTCTCCCTTTTTTTTTTTCCGTTTGCTGAAGGGCCTCCGGCCTCGGAAGACGAAGCATGCCGCCTTGGCAGCCGCTCGCTCGGGATACTGACCTGCTTCGGCACTTCCCTCCCCCCACAGTTGGAATCCAACCGGTTCATCAAGTCCAGTGAGCAGGGAAGCGCGATCGCCGAAACCATCGACGAGATTGTGCGTATCCCGTGCCGTTATGGGTATCCCGCTGTTGTTTGGCGCTCCCAACTGACCCCCGAGCCATTGTTTCCGTCACGCACCCTGCCCTTCCCCTCATCGTGGCGGCCCGGCATCAGGGTCGTGCGGTCATCCACATCTCGCCTGTGCTGCCCAAGGACCGTCTTGCCCAGCTGGCCAACTTCGCTCCTCTTCAGGCGTCGGTCACCTCGCAAACGCAGCTCCAGTCCGAGCTGGTCGTCGAGATCCTCCTGTCGAGCCTTTTGCAGATGTGCCAGAGCAGCGCCTGTATCCGGAACGCCACGTGCCGTGCCTTTGCCGAAGAGTACCGCCCGGTGCCGGACTCGGTGTTTGATGAGCTTGGTACGTCCCCCCCCCCCCTCCCTGTCACCGTCGCTTCTGCCGCTTCCCCACCTCCGGCCGTGGTCTTTTGTCTGCCCCCTACACGCGAGACACATACACACACACACACACACACAGCCGCACCCACACATATCCGCCCAGTCCACGCCCGAGTCTGACTCCTGATGACAGCCACCATTACTCGGCGTTTCCGTCTGTTGAATTCCTACCTCAACACGTCTGTCTTCCTGTGGAAGCGTGTTCGCAACATCATCCTGTCACTGCTTCTGTCGACGGTTATCATCTCCAATAAGCGACACTTGGTGATCACCTGTATGCATGCACAGACACACACACACATATGACATGCGCCTTCCCTCCCCTCTGTCCTCTGTCCACTCATGCCCTCCCTCCCGCACCCCTCGGATGACGCTATCCAGGTATGGAGTTTGTCATTAGCATCCCCTTGCTTATGAACAATCTCGTGCTCATTGACGCCGAGACAAACTTCAACATCTTCTACATGATCACCCAGGTGCGCTCTCTCTTTTCATCAAGATATCCCTGATCCCGCCGCTTGGCTGCTGCCAAGCCTTCCCCCCCCCCTCTCTCTCTCTCTCCCTTCCCCTGTCTCTGACCCATTCGATCGCTTGCCTCTTCTGGATGGGCAGATCATCAGCTGTACCGAGATGACCACCCTCTTCCGGTGCCAGGAGTGGATCCTGTCGACGCTTATCCCCGTCTTCAAGAAGGTGCGCTTCCCTCCATCCCCC